GAACATGGAATTCAGGCATTAAGGCAAATTGTAATTTGGGTGACTGCAGCTGGAAACATCTGCTTTTTCTTTCCTAAGCTCAGTAAACTTTGAAAAACTAGAACTACTCATAGAAACAATCACGCAGCCTTGAACTTCACCTTTGTTAACTTGCCAAGTTAATCAAAACTGAATCGAATTTGTTAAACATCAAACCACCTGCTGAAGTCAAAGCTGTTGAATGATTTTACATACCTTTGAATGGTTGTACATCAGCTGAAAATACTACTACACAGAATTCCTACCTCAAAATGAATATTGCAAAAGACGCTTACAAAATTACCTAAAAGTGATCTTCAGTCACTCTCTGTGTGACAAGGAGGAGGAGGGATAGTTGTGAATGTCTTCCGGGGCAGCTAATTCTCAAGTTCCAATGCTACTTCCAGCCTGATTCCTCAAATAGGAAAAACAGCTTTTTCTAAGGGAAGCTGCTAGAAAAAGAATTTGCAAAGTGTGCCTCCAACCTGATGCTCTCCCTGATTGTATTTCATGACAATGAACTATTGAACTGTGTTTTACTTAATTAAACCAATTCTCAGAATTTACATGATCCTGCACCAAACTAATAATAGAAGGTTGGTTTTACAAAATATACCCAGCTAATTTATGGTGTCAGTACAATACATAGAACATAGTACAGTACCATGGTATCATTGTGTTTTTTAGGCTGGTGAATCCCCAGGTATTCTTACAGGGGTGCTAGCAAAGTATCATTTATACATCATGAAATGTCACTAACGGCTCCCTGATTACCCTCTGCTTCACAATAAAAAGTAACATGGCTATTTATGCATTACTTCTGACCTTTTGCCTGCAGATTGCCTCCCACTGCCCCAACATGTTCCCGGTCTGCCAGCCAAATCCAGAAAGTGATTTTCAAACTACTGTAGGTATGATCATTTTGGTGGATAAGCAGAGCAATATGTTCTCCAGGAGGGGACAATCTGCACACGTAACAGGCCAGTGTGTGGCAAGGTTCAGCGTAGTGTGCAAACACAGCCAAACTGTATTTGCACCATTAGCCCTTCTTTCACAATTCTCTACATGTTCAGTCTGTGTTGAGAGTAGATTTTATGGGTATTTATTCCCATTTGCAACCTCCACATGTTTTGCTGAAGGAACAACAGACCTTACGTACTCATCATTACTGGAATACCTGTACCAAATGTTGTGTATTGGAGCTTGTCTTTTGTAAAGAAGAAATGGCCTCTTTTTGTTATGTTAAACTTTTATTTTGTTTATATTGGGATATTGGGACCATTTTATGCCTTCTAAATGGGATTTTGTTTTAGCTAAGAGTGAAGCTGTGGAATGTTGAATTTTACATATGTTAACTAATGTTAATATTTTAGTGCTTTGTTTGGACTTTTTACTGAGAATTGGATGGGAGAGATTACTTATTTGATTTGCCTATTGTGAAGAAATGGGTTATGGGATGAAGAGTTTACATTGGTTAGATGAGAGGAGGTGAATAGATTATGGAATTTATACTTGTTATGATGAGGGTCGGCAGTTACTTTTTTGGGGGGAGGGTTTTTTTGTTTTTGTACAGTTTGGTTTCGTTTTCTTACACTTCCCCCCCCCCCTCTTTTTTAACTTGTATTCTTTTACTGTTTTATCTAAAGCTTTTAATAAAATGATTGGGGGAAAAAAAGAATATTTGTACCTGAGATCAAGATCTACCACGATTTCCAATAACTCCAATAATATATGTATATAGGTGCACTAGCATATGCCTAATCTTAAAGGAAATCCACCCTGACGGCTCATTGGAAGGACTGATAATGAAGCTCAAGCTCAGATACTTTGGTCACCTAATGCGAA